ATTCAGCAGTGTTGGCCCTGGGGCCTATTGTACAATTACAGTTTGATTACTTGCACGTGGTGCTAGTAACATATTAAGTTTCTATTGGCATTGAATGCATATTTCAGATAAAAGCTAATGGTATTAATTTCACAACAGCTATATTGTTTGATGTTAAAAGATTTGGCAATGTGTGTTGATAAATTACATTTTCTTACAGACTTGGCAAATAATTGATAAATGATATTGATAGCATCTTCACGACGGTTTGGCCATACAGTCATAATACTTTAAGGAGTGAAACGTGAGCGATAGGTCTTGTGGGAATTCAAAGATGCATTAGGACTGTAGCCGTCTAAGCGTAACTCTGTGTGTAATATTCATACATTTTCTAGCCACGGACAACATGCTTCTAATATTGATATTATTTTCATGGATTCATCATGTTTTATCTATAGCTGTGCTATAGTGTTTCATTAAATTGTCTTTTCTGTTGTTGAAATTGAAGTAAGTCCCGCACAGAGCTGGGATCACATGTCTTTGAAAATTATGCAAACGGCTGGAACCTTGTGTTCCAATACAAAACGTTCGTAGCGCTACGACATTCGCATGCCTATGATAAACTATAGAGTTGGCCTCAACCATTGACTGGATTACATTCTCTTCGTCAGCAGAGACATTTCGTCTTCTCTTTTTCCTTGGGCTGCAGGCGACATTTTGCGTTTCCATTTTTGGTAAACAGGAAGTAAACAGAAAACGGGATTATGGGATATATGGAAGCTAACCAGTGACATTTACCACACTGTTAAACTTTGACGGCGACGTTAGCTAACGGCATGAAAAACCATGTTTTGAACAACGCATATTAAACGTTCGGTTACCTAACGGCCGGTTAAGGATTTAACCGGCCGTTATGAGTTAACCAGCGGTTAAGATAACCGAGTATTGAACAACCGGGCCCTGGTCATTAGACAAAAGGCAAATTGTGTTTCTGATAACATAACTCTTCAAGAAAATGTTCGATTAGTAAATTGGGTTTATTTTGTTAAAGTTATTGACAGAAAATTGAAGTATTCCAATGCTTCTACCAAGTTAATGGGGAGCAACTGCACTAGGTCACATGGCTCGATCGTATATGGCGGAGCCTGCAAAACCTGCAACCGTAAACTACTTGGTTCTGTTCACCACCAAGGTCTAAGACTTTGTCTTGGATCATTTAGAACTTCTTCAGTTGATAGTCTCTATGCCGAGGCAGATGAGCCATCTCTTTCCCAACGCCGTATTAAATTATCTTTACAATATATTACCAAACTATATTCTAACGAGTCTAACCCTGCATTTAACTGCGTCTTCAATCCTCTTTATGAGGATTTGTATAACAAAAAGTCTTCTCTTGTTCCGCCTCTTGGGCACAGAATTAAACCATTCCTTTCTGCCGGAATTAAGCTGGAGAATATATCTCCTTCTCGACTTCTTTCTTCTCCTCCTTGGCAATTGGTGAGGCCAGACGTTGACTTAACATCAACAACATTTAAATAATCCGAAACGAATGATTTACAGTATAAACAAGAATTTAGTCAACTAAGAAATAAATATAATACATATAAGTCCTTATTTACAGATTGGGCATACCCTAGCATTACACAACGGGAATATTGCGACTGGCTCGAAATGGGGTGTGTTCAGATACTATTAAGGTCATACATCACAGCCGAATACCTGTATTGGAGCTCACGAATATTCAGGAATCATCAGGCATGTGCTAGCATTACACAAGGAAACAGGACCATGTCGACTGGCAATAAATCGGCTTTCATAGCTAATATTGGGCGAGATAAACACAGCCTAATATCAGATTCGGAGCACATACATATTCAGAATTCGTAGGGCATACCCTAGCATTACACAATGGGAATATTCCGACTGGCTCGAAATGGGGTGTGTTCAGATGGAATTTAGGCTTTGAAACACTGTCAAAGAAACCCTCTTGTTTGACAAGAACACGTGAATACTCCCGACTTCTTCCAAGTGGGTCCCTCTACAGATGAAAATCTATCTACAAATATGAACCCAGGCTGTGTCGGAACCTTTTATCTGATGGACATGTCTTTAACCCACACATGTGACATGAAATACGAGTCAACGGCACTAGGAGTAGGCAAAGACGAGAGCAGAAAAGGATATTGTGTTGTGTATGCATCCCTTGTAGATTACAGGAAGGTTTGTTGTAACCCTGGGCGCGGTAAGAAAGATATAAGATATAATTATACGTACAGCACAGCCATGGGCTTTCATCTGTTCTTAGGTATATGCATAGTGCATGCGTTTATGGGCTTTGAACTCTGGAATAGCTATAGTTGGAAGTGGATACATCAAGTCCTCACTTGTATGTATCTCCTTATATAATTAGAAGTTAACTTCGTTATTAATGCATTTGATATCCGTCGTTCGCCTTGACCCTTTAGTTGATTACTTATACAACTCTTATTTGGTTGTTTGGCACTTGCGTATGTAAAACCATTCAGTGGGAATTGTATATCATTTTGGCCGTTAGTTCTCTAATTCCTCACGTGGCAGCGTGTACTCCAAGTCCTCAATTGGCAGTGTGTACTCCAAGTCCTCAATTGAAAGTGTATATTTGAAGTCCCTCAATTGGCATGCGTGCCCAAGTCCTCAATTGGCAGTGTCATTCCAAGTCCTCAATTGAAAGTGTCTTTTTCAAGTCCGTCATCATTGACATGTGTATTTGATAGCTACTATGAATTAGAAATCTGTAAAAATAATTCAGAAGCATGCTTTTTTGTCAAGTCCCCATTTGAAAGTGTTTTTTTTAAATTTGACATATCATCAATGGCAGTATCACAGCTATTTTGAATTAGAAATCTGTAAAAATAATTCAGAAATTGCTTTTGTGTGTCAAGTTCCTATTTGGCATGTGTTTTGTCAAAGGTCCCTCAGTTGTGCAAGTCCTTACACGTATGTGTGTGTCTGTTTTATGCATGTATTATAACATGACACAATACAAGGATTATACTGGATGTTTCTGGAATGAAGAAATCGGAAGAAATATACAGACTTTTTGTGCCAAAATTGTGATGACCGTTAGCTATCTTGATCCAGACTCCCAGTGGCGTTTGTTCCATTCGTGACCTATGTGTCAGGAAATTAAACGTTGCATTAATGATCCTTGTAAACGGCTGTGGAACATTGTCTATTACAAAGGAAGGCAATGACCAAGACTGCTTCAGTTTCGATTTGTTTATTGGGATAAATTGTAAAGCACAAGTTCAACAACAAAGGTGATGACACCATACTCTACTATGTATAAGGAGCAATTTACTTTACAAAACTGAAAAATATCATACAGCGTATTTAAGCGCTGAAAAGAGAATATGTACAAAACAATGATCAAAATACTAAAATGAACGTATTAGGCATGACATGTTGTAAGAATATGTGGGATTTCACTTCTCAGTGAAAGCCAGATGTGGAGGTTTGCGAAAATGCGAAAAGAGAGACACTGAAGAACCAACGATGAACGAGTGAACAGTGATGAATACAACTATGGGGATTCATGCCCGTTTCTGTAGCATCAGACACAGAATTTGTACTGTGGCATCGAAGGCCTTGAAGACATTACACCGCCATGGAACATGTCATCGTCAAAAACCCAAAAGATCCAGAGAATCCAGCACTATATGGTGATACCCGATCAACGAATGACTGACTAGCACATTGCGAGTTCAGGAAGAACGACATTCATGAATCACAGAAACACTGCGAATTAAGAAAAGTATCAGCTCGTATGGTTCCACCATTCTGATCTCATAAACAACGGAGCAGGATAAGTAAGTTGTATTCTAATCTGGCTCTGTTAGATGTTGAACCATAATGGTTCTTGCACCGGTTATTTCATCAAAAGCAAATAATAGAATGACTTCCACTTCAGCACAGAGGTTATGATCTTATGCGCCCTGAATATCATCAAGGTAGATTATCTCCCAACCTGTCTCTAGAAGTAAACTAAATAGAGACCAAGTGACAATAGATTAGTGAACAAACCAGTTATTGTCGCGTCTAAGCCCTTCAAAAATAAGGGTATCACTTTGATCTTTAGAACACTTATTCTCATGATCCGGCTCCGCTACACTTGCGTCTTTTGTCAAACATCAATAAAACTGTATAGTAAGCTTTTTATGTCTATGTTATCATAGAAAGTTGTGGCACTAAGTTTTGGTCCAAAGAGACATAGACCTGATGTGTCGAACAGGAAATGTCAAAGACCGATTGTTCCTAACACAGAGTAAAGAGATAAGAGTTAAAATGATAATAAACAAGAAACAAATGTACAAGAAAAACTCAGACTTTGGATATATACTATTCACACTTTGCTAAGGGTCATATCATGGATTCAGCAGGAACGTATGATGTGGGGACAAATTTGGTTTATATATTTAATCTTATAGTAAGCATGGATCCTAGGTTTCAGTATGTCATTTCATCTTGTGGATCCCATACCTGTTATTGACATGTGTTGTGTACTTGTCAATGACTCGTTCCATGATCTGCAAAATGGTAATTGGTGCCATGAAAACCATTTTTATGGTTACTCATGCATCAAGTGCATAAGGTTTAGATTAAAGTGGCTGTTACCATACTATTATTTTTTTCCAGTATTAAATTGAGGCACAGTTTCAAATTATAAATCTACGTTAAGGTAAAATTGTGAATTTTTGTGATCCTTAGCAAAGTATGAGTAGTATATATAATGAACGCATTAACGTGCATACGATTTGAATGTGTATCTGAACGAGTAACCGATTCCCGTGGATCTCGGAATTAATTGATCATGGTAATTTGCTCGTTTGATGTTCATTGCACAGAACACGGCATAATCATGTACTATTCATAGTAATTATGGTTGGGCTACAGACTCCAAACAGTAATAACTCTTGAACAGGAGGAGATGAACAATTACCTTTTACACAAAATCCAAAATATGACTTCCAATGTTCATACAAACAATTCTTTTTTATAATAGAGCAATACATTTGTAAAACATTTTTTTTTTTAAAGTTACATCTTTCCCAAATGTTCCCGTTTAGAATATTAAATTGTCAGTTCAGAATTAACTTCAGTTAAGTCACCAAAGGCACTCCCGCTGGAACAAGTCAAATTTTAGGCTGTTGGTAACACGTTTAGATGGAACAGAGTCGAACCAAGTGATCGTATTCAAGTGACACTCTTCCCACCAAAGTCAAAGTATGCCGACTGACTCTTGGTGTCGCCGATGCAGAACGCTGTGCATGATTCGTAAAATTACCCTTGTTGGAGGGCGTAGCCATGGACGACTGAGGACTTGTACAAGGTGAAGTTGTCGCTGAAGGTGGAACATTCTGATAATTGAAAATCACTATAAAGACTGTGCTGCGTGACATTGCATACTGACTACTTTAATGTACGAGGGACGCATTTCCTATATATGTAACACTTAAGTGAAACCTGCGGGTGTGACGGTCCAAATAGCCTCTGCCCAGGACTTCCAAGCAACGTACATGAGTGGCTGCTTATACGACGTAACTCCTATTATAATCAATGTAACTATCAGCAACCGATGCATAAGCCAGGTCACTGCTGACGTAAATCCCGCTGGACTTATTGTGCAGAGGGCTGGGTTACAGAAAGTATCGACGTTGCCTGGAGTGGGGTGCTTGGGTCATTTATAGTCAGTGTTAGAACCATGTGAATGATTAGGCACTGTCCAACGGAACATGACAAATTTGCGTTGAAATATAACTTTGAATGTATTCTTTGCTCGTGTATATAAATAAATTTGTTTTGACCTATATATACCGGCAGCAATATTGATTCAACGTTAAAGTTTATCCCCTTGACTCGCTCGCTCACTAACTCACTTTTTTATAACTTATAGCCCCACAATGACGTGATCATGACATTGGTCCTTTTCGTAAAATTATTATATCTATACAAAGAAAAGGCATATTCCACATAATTCGTTTGCACCAGGGACGTGGTGAGATATTATAACACAAACTGAATCAGATTAAAACACACTCTAAGGCTAACTTACGGAAACCTACGAAATGTCGGCTACAAATGTTTGCCTTACCATGGGCCTCTGCCAATGGAAACACTGTTGAACCACAATCATTTTACAAGCTCTTCAATCTATCAAAGGAAGTGACAAGTTACGTCCATAGGACCTCGTGTCTTTGAGAGGATTACAGTTTTAAAAAAACTAAATTTTGAGATGACCGCCGTCTCGAAATGCTTCGCAGTTCAAGCAACATGGTATTCAAGCATCAAGGCCGGACACTCTGGTGTACCCAACCCGCCTGCTTTGCCGTTCGCTACGCTACCATCGCATGCAATCGATTAAAATTCAATGTAATCATAACCATAGATGATTGGCCTATCGATCACCACTCACGACACCTACCAATTCGTTATTGTTATTTCTGGCATTGTATTGATTAATTGTACCGAGAAACATTTCGATTTGGGGGTCATCTCAAACGTTTTAAACACATGTTTGGGAATATTTAAATCTCTAATCCTCGCAAAGACACGAGGACCTGTGTTTATGTCCGCTTCTGAAGGTTGATATGTCGAAAATATATAAATGTTACAAAATGATGATGCATGTTTTTCATTATGGGTTACGAAATACGTTAGAATCGTATATCTCCACCACGTAAAACAGACATGAGGACTACGTGGTTTAACATCACTTCACTGTTGAGATGAGCAAACAATGTTTCTCCATTGTTGACAATAGCAGCCTTCGTCAACTATTAAATATGGACCTTAATTTCGTGAACACCCTCCTACCAATTGGAATTACAACGTTAAAATCGCTATGGATGCTGTCGAAACATATGCCCCAAAACTGGGCCATAAGAGAAGAAGAACCCGTGGAATGTCTTTAAAATGGGTAAAGTCAATACGTGATGTTGCCATTGGTAGAATACACAAACTGAAAACGAGGAAACAGAATTGCAATATACCCATTCTGTCCCAGCCAGCTGTCATCCAAAGTCTGGCTGCCCTGCATGAAAGGTTTGTCGTCATTCCCAGTTGACAAAGCCCAAATTAACATAACCATTATATATAAACATCATTACATAAATTATTTGATCACAAAATTTTGGTGTACGTGACATTTATACAAATGCCTCATATGAGGCCAGTGTGTTATCTAAGGTAGACATCTGCCTAAACCATTCAACAGTGCTATCTGGCTTGACTCTAACACCTGAAGACATGTCCATTCCTCTTTTTGTACTGGATTTCCAAAACTACATACAAATCAGTATAAGGGGTTCCAGCAAATGTACCAGCAAATAACTATCTCAGAGATTTACCATAATCCTTAATACTATCAAGGAAGTATGTTCTCGATATTCACAGAAGATTTTTGAGACTTTAGGAATTAATACTAAGTGGATTATCAAAACTCAAAGGATTTGCTTACAGTTTTAGAATCTCAGCAAAGGACTGTTCTGCTCTGTCAAAATACTTGATTTTTAAACGATCTCTTCCATTATCCCATATGACAGACGTCAATAAAAACTTCATTTCTTAATTCATGGTGCTTTTTGTAAACAAACGTGGTGAACAAAGATATACCTAGATATCTATCTGCATGGGTTCAGGAAAGTTTGTCAAACATATGAAAGCAAATGTCACTTGAAGGTTACGGAGAAACAACATTTTAAATGCTGGACTTTCTCATTGATAACATGTTTGTGAAATTTGGGGGTAAAATATCTCGCCAAGCAGTAGGCATCCCAATTTCTTTATGCAAATGAATCATAATTTCTGGTTTGGGTTGGCAAATTCAAAACAAGGTCATTTGGCCATAGACGTTTAACTTAAGCTTCAACTAGACAATTGCCTTCAACGGATTTACCCACCTGAACCTGACAAGTGAGACCGCCTGAACTGTTCGATATGCATCAAGATTCAGAGACAAAAATATCCACAAAGTTGTATGACAAAAGGATTGATTTTAACTTTCCAATAGGCAACTTCCTTTCATGTCGAGCAATATTCCAAAAGCTCCAGCCTTTGGTGTTTACATTTCACAACTTTTGAGGTATAAGCTAGCGTGCCTTTTTTAAGGGGATTTCAAAGAGCGTGATGCCACTCTTGCTCAAGGTGTTTGATCAAGGCTACAACATTCAATGCCTCAATAAAGCTGTCAAGTAGTTTTATGGTAGACATGTTGAGGAAATTTCCAAATTTGATGCATTAGTGACAAAAATGATGTTCGATGCAATTCCTTATTTTAACTTATACCGTACGTTCTCGAAATATTTCAGGTTAACAAATGACTAGACTTAGGATATGTTCATGACGGGTGGGGCAGGATACGCTCACCATTTCGTGAACACCTGTTATCATCACTATTTCAAAGTGATTCATAAACACATGCTCTGTCATCGTATCCCATGGTGATAGACCCGATTTGTTTACAAACAACATCACACAGCTCTAATACTGCTGAAACAAATGTCTGCGTATGATATAGTCACAACTGTACAATCGACTCTGCTTTTGGCAGAGATGTTTTATGAATGTGGAACGGGTTTTGTCGCTTCTATTTACAGCATGTTCAGGACTGAATACCTCAAAGTACGGACACAACTGAAGTTCTTGTGTCTCAAGATACGGATAAAGGCTTCCCCGCTCTCATTCTTTTGATAGAAAGCATATGAAATTTTAACAATATTTTTCCGCCCTCAAGACAAAATGGCGATGCTGGGGCCCAGGAATACAACAGTATACGGGTAGTGCTTCAACGTGTAATTTCAATGTTCAGGACTTGCTGGGGATTCAGAAAACGTTTCGTTCTGAGGTTGGAAGAGGGAGAGGGGTGATCCTAATATTCACCCATGTCGGCAATTCCTTATGTATTCATTCACCCACAAACACATTCACGCATAAACTCACTAGCCCAAAGAGGAGCAATAAACTTACATGGCCCAAAAATTCATTCAACGTACCTGTGAGGATGCGACAGACGTCTCCGTAGATCCCGTAGCCCACGTCACACCTGCAGAACCTGACGTTACAATGGGTAGTTAGGGAGAGACGCACAGTCCACGTGTCCACTGTTGAACCACAATCATTTTACAAGCTCTTCAATCTATCAAAGGAAGTGACAAGTTACGTCCATAGGACCTCGTGTCTTTGAGAGGATTACAGTTTTAAAAAATAAATTTTGAGATGACCGCCGTCTCGAAATGCTTCGCAGTTCAAGCAACATGAAATTCAAGCATCAAGGCCGGACACTCTGGTGTACCCAACCCGCCTGCTTTGCCGTTCGCTACGCTACCATCGCATGCAATCGATTAAATTTCAATGTAATCATAACCATAGATGATTGGCCTATCGATCACCACTCACGACACCTACCAATTCGTTATTGTTATTTCTGGCATTGTATTGATTAATTGTACCGAGAAACATTTCGATTTGGGGGGTCATCTCAAACGTTTTAAACACATGTTTGGGAATATTTAAATCTCTAATCCTCGCAAAGACACGAGGACCTGTGTTTATGTCCGCTTCTGAAGGTTGATATGTCGAAAATATATAAATGTTACAAAATGATGATGCATGTTTTTCATTATGGGTTACGAAATACGTTAGAGTCGTATATCTCCACCACGTAAAACAGACATGAGGACTACGTGGTTTAACATCACTTCACTGTTGAGATGAGCAAACAATGTTTCTCCATTGTTGACAATAGCAGCCTTCGTCAACTATTAAATATGGACCTTAATTTCGTGAACACCCTCCTACCAATTGGAATTACAACGTTAAAATCGCTATGGATGCTGTCGAAACATATGCCCCCAAAACTGGGCCATAAGAGAAGAAGAACCCGTGGAATGTCTTTTAAAATGGGTAAAGTCAATACGTGATGTTGCCATTGGTAGAATACACAAACTGAAAACGAGGAAACAGAATTGCAATATACCCATTCTGTCCCAGCCAGCTGTCATCCAAAGTCTGGCTGCCCTGCATGAAAGGTTTGTCGTCATTCCCAGTTGACAAAGCCCAAATTAACATAACCATTATATATAAACATCATTACATAAATTGTTTGATCACAAAATCTTGGTGTACGTGACATTTATACAAATGCCTCATATGAGGCCAGTGTGTTATCTAAGGTAGACATCTGCCTAAACCATTCAACAGTGCTATCTGGCTTGACTCTAACACCTGAAGACATGTCCATTCCTCTTTTGTACTGGATTTCCAAAACTACATACAAATCAGTATAAGGGGTTCCAGCAAATGTACCAGCAAATCCCTATCTCAGAGATTTACCATAATCCTTAATACTATCAAGGAAGTATGTTCTCGATATTCACAGAAGATTTTTGAGACTTTAGGAATTAATGCTAAGTGGATTATCAAAACTCAAAGGATTTGCTTACAGTTTTAGAATCTCAGCAAAGGACTGTTCTGCTCTGTCAAAATACTTGATTTTTAAACGATCTCTTCCATTATCCCACATGACAGACGTCAATAAAACTTCATTTCTTAATTCATGGTGCTTTTTGTAAACAAACGTGGTGAACAAAGAGATACCTAGATATCTATCTGCATGGGTTCAGGAAAGTTTGTCAAACATATGAAAGCAAATGTCACTTGAAGGTTACGGAGAAACAAAATTTTAAATGCTGGACTTTCTCATTGATAACATGTTTGTGAAATTTGGGGTAAAATATCTCGCCAAGCAGTAGGCATCCCAATTTCTTTATGCATATGAATCATAATTTCTGGTTTGGGTTGGCAAATTCAAAACAAGGTCATTTGGCCATAGACGTTTAACTTAAGCTTCAACTAGACAATTGCCTTCAACGGATTTACCCACCTGAACCTGACAAGTGAGACCGCCTGAACTGTTCGATATGCATCAAGATTCAGAGACAAAAAATATCCACAAAGTTGTATGACAAAGGATTGATTTTAACTTTCCAATAGGCAACTTCCCTTTCATGTCGAGCAATATTCCAAAAGCTCCAGCCTTTGGTGTTTACATTTCACAACTTTTGAGGTATAAGCTAGCGTGCCTTTTTTAAGGGGATTTCAAAGAGCGTGATGCCACTCTTGCTCAAGGTGTTTGATCAAGGCTACAACATTCAATGCCTCAATAAAGCTGTCAAGTAGTTTTATGGTAGACATGTTGAGGAAATTTCCAAATTTGATGCATTAGTGACAAAAATGATGTTCGATGCAATTCCTTATTTTAACTTATACCGTACGTTCTCGAAATATTTCAGGTTAACAAATGACTAGACTTAGGATATGTTCATGACGGGTGGGGCAGGATACGCTCACCATTTCGTGAACACCTGTTATCATCACTATTTCAAAGTGATTCATAAACACATGCTCTGTCATCGTATCGCATGGTGATAGACCCGATTTGTTTACAAACAACATCACACAGCTCTAATACTGCTGAAACAAATGTCTGCGTATGATATAGTCACAACTGTACAATCGACTCTGCTTTTGGCAGAGATGTTTTATGAATGTGGAACGGGTTTTGTCGCTTCTATTTACAGCATGTTCAGGACTGAATACCTCAAAAGTACGGACACAACTGAAGTTCTTGTGTCTCAAGATACGGATAAAGGCTTCCCCGCTCTCATTCTTTTGATAGAAAGCATATGAAATTTTAATATTATTTTTCCGCCCTCAAGACAAAAAGGCGATGCTGGGGCCCAGGAATACAATAGTATACGGGTAGTGCTTCAATGTGTAATTTCATGTTCAGGACTTGCTGGGGATTCAGAAAACGTTTCGTTCTGAGGTTGGAAGAGGGGAGAGGGGGTGATCCTAATATTCACCCATGTCGGCAATTCCTTATGTATTCATTCACCCACAAACACATTCACGCATAAACTCACTCGCCCAAAGAGGAGCAATAAACTTACATGGCCCAAAAATTCATTCAACGTACCTGTGAGGATGCGACAGACGTCTCCGTAGATCCCGTAGCCCACGTCACACCTGCAGAACCTGACGTTACAATGGGAGTTAGGGAGAGACGCACAGTCCACGTGTCCACTGTTGAACCACAATCATTTTACAAGCTCTTCAATCTATCAAAGGAAGTGACAAGTTACGTCCATAGGACCTCGTGTCTTTGAGAGGATTACAGTTTTAAAAAAAAAATAAATTTTGAGATGACCACCGTCTCGAAATGCTTCGCAGTTCAAGCAACATGGTATTCAAGCATCAAGGCCGGACACTCTGGTGTGCCCAACCCGCCTACTTTGCCGTTCGCTACGCTACCATCGCATGCAATCGATTAAAATTCAATGTAATCATAACCATAGATGATTGGCCTATCGATCACCACTCACGACACCTACCAATTCGTTATTGTTATTTCTGGCATTGTATTGATTAATTGTACCGAGAAACATTTCGATTTGGGGGTCATCTCAAACGTTTTAAACACATGTTTGGGAATATTTAAATCTCTAATCCTCGCAAAGACACGAGGACCTGTGTTTATGTCCGCTTCTGAAGGTTGATATGTCGAAAATATATAAATGTTACAAAATGATGATGCATGTTTTTCATTATGGGTTACGAAATACGTTAGAGTCGTATATCTCCACCACGTAAAACAGACATGAGGACTACGTGGTTTAACATCACTTCACTGTTGAGATGAGCAAACAATGTTTCTCCATTGTTGACAATAGCAGCCTTCGTCAACTATTAAATATGGACCTTAATTTCGTGAAACACCCTCCTACCAATTGGAATTACAACGTTAAAATCGCTATGGATGCTGTCGAAACATATGCCCCAAAACTGGGCCATAAGAGAAGAAGAACCCGTGGAATGTCTTTTTAAATGGGTAAAGTCAATACGTGATGTTGCCATTGGTAGAATACACAAACTGAAAACGAGGAAACAGAATTGCAATATACCCATTCTGTCCCAGCCAGCTGTCATCCAAAGTCTGGCTGCCCTGCATGAAAGGTTTGTCGTCATTCCCAGTTGACAAAGCCCAAATTAACATAACCATTATATATAAACATCATTACATAAATTGTTTGATCACAAAATCTTGGTGTACGTGACATTTATACAAATGCCTCATATGAGGCCAGTGTGTTATCTAAGGTAGACATCTGCCTAAACCATTCAACAGTGCTATCTGGCTTGACTCTAACACCTGAAGACATGTCCATTCCTCTTTTGTACTGGATTTCCAAAACTACATACAAATCCAGTATAAGGGGTTCCAGCAAATGTACCAGCAAATCCCTATCTCAGAGATTTACCATAATCCTTAATACTATCAAGGAAGTATGTTCTCGATATTCACAGAAGATTTTGAGACTTTAGGAATTAATGCTAAGTGGATTATCAAAAACTCAAAGGATTTGCTTACAGTTTTAGAATCTCAGCAAAGGACTGTTCTGCTCTGTCAAAATACTTGATTTTTTAAACGATCTCTTCCATTATCCCACATGACAGACGTCAATAAAACTTCATTTCTTAATTCATGGTGCTTTTGTAAACAAACGTGGTGAACAAAGAGATACCTAGATATCTATCTGCATGGGTTCAGGAAAGTTTGTCAAACATATGAAAGCAAATGTCACTTGAAGGTTACGGAGAAACAAAATTTTAAATGCTGGACTTTCTCATTGATAACATGTTTGTGAAATTTGGGGGTAAAATATCTCGCCAAGCAGTAGGCATCCCAATTTCTTTATGCATATGAATCATAATTTCTGGTTTGGGTTGGCAAATTCAAAACAAGGTCATTTGGCCATAGACGTTTAACTTAAGCTTCAACTAGACAATTGCCTTCAACGGATTTACCCACCTGAACCTGACAAGTGAGACCGCCTGAACTGTTCGATATGCATCAAGATTCAGAGACAAAAAATCTCCACAAAGTTGTATGACAAAGGATTGATTTTAACTTTCCAATAGAGCAACTTCCTTTCATGTCGAGCAATATTCCAAAAGCTCCAGCCTTTGGTGTTTACATTTCACAACTTTTGAGGTATAAGCTAGCGTGCCTTTTTTAAGGGGATTTCAAAGAGCGTGATGCCACTCTTGCTCAAGGTGTTTGATCAAGGCTACAACATTCAATGCCTCAATAAAGCTGTCAAGTAGTTTTATGGTAGACATGTTGAGGAAATTTCAAATTTGATGCATTAGTGACAAAAATGATGTTCGATGCAATTCCTTATTTTAACTTATACCGTACGTTCTCGAAATATTTCAGGTTAACAAATGACTAGACTTAGGATATGTTCATGACGGGTGGGGCAGGATACGCTCACCATTTCGTGAACACCTGTTATCATCACTATTTCAAAGTGATTCATAAACACATGCTCTGTCATCGTATCGCATGGTGATAGACCCGATTTGTTTACAAACAACATCACACAGCTCTAATACTGCTGAAACAAATGTCTGCGTATGATATAGTCACAACTGTACAATCGACTCTGCTTTTGGCAGAGATGTTTTATGAATGTGGAACGGGTTTTGTCGCTTCTATTTACAGCATGTTCAGGACTGAATACCTCAAAAGTACGGACACAACTGAAGTTCTTGTGTCTCAAGATACGGATAAAGGCTTCCCCGCTCTCATTCTTTTGATAGAAAGCATATGAAATTTTAATAATATTTTTCCGCCCTCAAGACAAAATGGCGATGCTGGGGGCCCAGGAATACAATAGTATACGGGTAGTGCTTCAATGTGTAATTTCATGTTCAGGACTTGCTGGGGATTCAGAAAACGTTTCGTTCTGAGGTTGGAGAGGGGGAGGGTGATCCTAATATTCACCCATTCACAGTCCACGTCCAGCTTACTGTCTGATCCTACCTTGGCACAAAGCTGGAAATGTAAAGAATAACATGTTCTTATACACAAGGATATGGGCGTATTGTTACGAACGTAGTGATGAGCTATTTTTAAATAGATGAGGTTAGTTACTTTGTGTTACCACAATGTGACAACGCAACAGTAATGACAGATTCCAGATGGGATCAGGCAACAGCTATTGTAGGTATGTGGTATTGTAGTGTGGGTGGTACGGTTCCGATTAAACGTTCCTGCATTTCAGGAGAATCATTTTAAGAACTTGATTACAAAACTTTAAAAGTCAAGAAATCATCGTTCTAAAACATTTGAGTTATATGGTACGGTTATTAATTCACACCCTATCAGATATGGGCGCGCTTACGAATCATATCATAAAAATTTTAATTATGCTCGAAAAAATAAGGTATTGTTCAAAATGGGAATTACACAGAAGAGAATATTTATATGCAAAACGTATACATTTAAAGTAGATAGCTTTTATCATTTAACACTGACTTTGATGAACGTCTCAACCCCGCCGCCATTTTGTTTTGTTCACACCGACCCAAGTGGAGTAACTCCCAAACAATCACTACATCTTTCAATATTACTGTCTCTCCAGCAGCTCAGCAAACAATATCAAACAGTATTTGCATGGTTTTTTCAGGACAACCCTGAAATGTTTCACCCCACTGGTGTGCATGGGCGTTAAAGATATTAAATACCGAAACATTGAGATTCACTCGCATTATTTCCTTCTTCCTGAGTTGGCGTAGCTTAGTTCCTAAGGCGTTCGCTCGTCACCCCAAAGACACGGGTTTAATATCCCACAGGTGCAATCTTTGGAAGTCCAGCCTGCAGCCAGCATTGCCCTCTCCTTACTGTGATCAAAGGGACTGGATTGAATAGACAGACACTAACTGTTCTTCAGTAGATCAATAAAGTGACCATCCTTCTCACATATAGTTAAGTGAGTGTAATTACATTAATTCTAACGTAAAATATTGATGATTGGCCTCTTCAGCAATATTGGCACCCATGAAGGGCCACCTCCTCGTGAGTGGGTGCTGGGTCACGCTAAGCGCCCTTCAACCCCCGTTGTGGACCCGGGGAATATTAGGTCCACCAACCTGTTTGCCCGTGGTTTTGCCCCTGTGTTGGTGGAGGACGGGATTCTGGTGGTTGAGGGCACAGGAGCCAGAAGAACAGTGTTCCTTTGCCCAACACACCACTTGACCTCCCTTACTTCACCCTAGACGGGTGGTAGAACGGGCCCGGTTCTAACAATCGGCTGGTCATGTCGCTGCCCTGTGCATGGTCAACTTCACATAATGTATATCTCTGTATCATTTTTCCTCGAAATGCTGTTGTGATACTCTTACGTTGGAAAATTGTTACTCTGCCTAGAGTCCACCATGCCAGAAGGCGGTGGCTCATGGGCCAATCTGGCATTACTGACCTCCGGGTTCTAAGTGTCTTCAGATAATCGCCATGGACGGAACCAGCCTGACCTTTCCATACACTAGTACACTGTACCCCTCAATACACCAGTACACTGTACCCCTCTATACCCTAGTACCACTCTATCCCTCCATATACTCAGTACACTGTACTCCTCCATACACCAGTACACTGTACTCCTCCATACACCAGTACACTGTACCCGTCCATACACTAGTACAATGTATGCCCCTCCATACTACTAGTACAATGTACCCCTCGATACAATTCAGTACATTTCTACCCCTCGATACACCAGTACAGTGTACGCCTCCCATACACCACTACACTGTACTCCATCCATACACCAGTACACTGTACCCTCCATACACTAGTACAATGTACTCCCTCCATACACCACTACACTGTATGCCCATCCATACACCAGTACACTGTACCCTCCATACACCAGTACACTGTACCCCTCCATACACCAGTACACTGTACCCCTCCATACAGAAGTACACTCTACCTTGTCAATACACCAATACAATTTAACCCTCCATACACCCAGTACACTGTATCCCCTACAAACACCAGGACACTGTACGCCTAAATACACTTGTACACTGTACTCCTCCTCCATACACTAGTACAATGTACCCCTCAATACACCAGTACACTGTACCCCCTCCATACCCTAGTACACTGTACTCCTCCATACACCAGTACACTGTACCTCCATACACCAGAACACTGTACCCTCCATACACTAGTACAATGTGCCCTCCATACA